TTATACGCAGTTATAGTATTCGGGTTATATGACTCTAGTTTTGAATTACAAAAATCTATTTTTATTTTCAAAATACACATTAATTGTGTGTTGTTGAAGTATATTTATATTCCAAAAATAAATATGTATATTCTCAAAATGTATTTTTCTCACCAGAATGTACTTTTATATTATAAGAAATACAATTTTCTTGTTGTACATTTGTTTGTGAAAAAAACATTTACGTCCTAAAATGAATGTTTATCTAAAATAAAATAAATTAAAATAAATATATATTATTAATATCACAATCCCTCCACAGGGAGGAGGGACTATGCTAATACAGGTTGTATACATTCAAAATAAACATTTTTACTCCATATGTTATAAACATAATGGTTAAACAACTGTGGTATAAACACTACCACCACAGAGGAGAATATAACACATGATTTGTACCAGCTTAATGATACATGTACACACAAGTGACATGGAGTGTTATATGGAGAGAACTCATGGGTCGTACCCCCATTGTAAGTGTGCAGGTAATAATAATATGTGGTTATTATGAGGATACTGCAAAGTATGTACAACAGAAGTATCGACCGACAGCGGAGGTCAGCGAGTGGAGGTCGATGCGACCAGTCCTGTCTGAGTGCATACTTTGTAGTATTTCCGTAATAACATTATTACCGGTATTATACATCTTTTCTTCCACAGGAATACATCATGGGAATGCCGAAATCCAAAACGTTTATAACAGATTTAGCGAACTTTCTTGTGTGTAGGTCCGTTAAAACCCTGAGGGCAGCTACGTTTGTTTTTATTGTTTGCTTACGCGCGTAATAGTTCCATATTTGGAATTCGCGTTTTATAATATGGTAGGATGAAAATGCCCAATGCAATACCGCGAAATTATGGCACTCTGTAATATTTGGGGTTACGGTGATAGATATATAATAATGATGTCATTAGACTTCTATGCTCAGTGGGATTTTTCATAACATTAGCCACACCGACTTAATTTTATGGATGACATCCGCGCGCGCGCATTAGTTTTCGCCTGTTTTCAAAAAAAAAAAAATCTCCGACGACGAGTCTCCACAGATCGGTTTTCTGTCCGGAACTTGCCGACTCATATTGTCGCAAAGCGTTTTGGACTACCTCAAACCAAACTCCGCACAGTTAGATGCGCGTTACGTAAAGCGCAAAGACCTATGGGAAGGAGACTGTCTCAAAACATGACAATTTTGTCATAAATGACCACACCACCAAAATACGTGAGCATAAAAGTTCAGAGGTAAAACGGAGGGAATATGGTAGACTGGTGCGCAATTGGTGTTGGCCAGGGAGATGTGACGTTTACACAGTTATACGAGAGATCGGTAGCGGCAAGCGAGTTTCGCCCAGACAATTTTAAGGACATATTGTCCAGAGTGGCTGTCCTG